CGATGGGTACGAACATCTGCCTCCTGGTGTGCGGACGACAAAGTCAGATCACGAGGCTGTAAACAACACCTCCGAAAGAGGATTTGGGCAGACGAAATCGCGAGGCATGCTGACGACGTCGTCGACAGCAGCTGTATGTAACGACTCGGTATACGAGTTCTGCTCATGCGATGGCCCTAATATCAGGTTCGTTTCTAATTTGCTCGAGAAGATGCCAGACGAAGAGCTGTGCATTCTACTAATTCACGGTTTACTGCGCACGACGTTGAACACCTCGCGCGCCGGGGGGGGGATTCGGACCCAAGTGAGTTCATAACTTTCTCCGCGCCCGACCGCGAGTGCTGGCCAGGCTGCGCGGTAACGTCCACGCGTTGCCCACCCGCTAGCTGCCGAGGAGGTTTCGGACACATCGGAGGCGGGCGCTCCTCTTCCTCGCGCCCTCCGCCGCGCGGCCCGCTTCCGCCTGCCGCAGGTGTCTCGGGTTCCCTTTGGGCGGGGGCCCGCGCCGCCCCCCTGCGTTCGCCCCCCCTGTTCTTCCTCGCTCTCCTCGGCGGGAAGCGCCCGGGCAATGATCGTCGCGGGTAGCTCTTGGTTTCTTTTCTTCCAGGCCGCGGCTCTCTACGCGAGCTTGCCAATTGCAGGTCGGCTTGCGCGGCGGTCTGGGCGCGATTGGCGGTTGTCCTACTCGCGCGGCGCGCGTGGCTGAGGCCGGCGGGTCGGCGCCGACTGTTGGCCCGCGTTGTCGCCGGGAGAAAACGCAGATGCATATCGAGTCACCCAGATGACGCGCGCAACGCGCAACGCGTGCGCGCAGGACTCGCAGCGAGCGGCGCGCGCAACGCTTTCTCGACGCCGCGCGAGGCGCGCGCGGGGCGTTGCCGCTGCCCGTTTCAGGCTCGCATGCCAGGCAGGCGCGGCGTTCTCTCGACAGGGATTCCCTCGGCGCCGCAAGTGGGGTTCAGGGGGTGCGGTCTCTATCCGTTGCAGTCGCGCAGGGCGGGGCAGGCGCGGCTTTTTCTCGTCGCCGTGCGGGGCGCGGAGGGCGCGCGGGCATGGGGGCGCGGCAAGCGCGGCACTTCCTTGTCGCTACAGGGGGGCGTCAGCGCGCGCAGCCTGCATCCGGCGCAGGCTCGCAGGGCGCGGCGCGCGCTGCGCATCCTTGACGCCGCAGTTGTGCGCAGGCGGTGGCGGTCTCTAACCGGCGCAGGCTCGCAGGGCGCGGCAGGCGCGGCGTTTCCGCGGCGCCGCTGGGGGTGCGCAGAGGTCGCGGCCATTGCCCGCTACAGGCTCGCACGGCGCGGCACGTTCGGAATTTCCTCGACGCCGCAAGGGGTGCGCCTGGGGCGCAGGCGCTATTCGCCGCGGTCTCGCAGGGCGGAGCAGCGGCGCGGCCTTTCTCTCGATTCTACAGGGCGCGCACGGCGCGCGCGGTCTTCATTCGCTGCGGGCTCGCAGGGCGCGGCTTTCGCAGCGCGCAGAATTCGAGACACTTCGTCTTAGCCCGGCTCAGCGCGCCAGCGTTTTCTCGCGGATGCGCCAGGAATGTTGCCCACCGAAGGCAGCGAGCGCCTTGTTGCTGCGCGCTGCTGCGCCCCCCCCGAAACTGCCGCGAGCGCGCTGCCGCGTCCGCGCCTGATGATGACGAACGCACTGGTTCAAATGGGCGGCCAGGGCGCAGTGGGAAGCCCGCGCAAATGCGCGAGCGGGGCGGCGCAGTCCGCATTGCATGCGCACCGCCGTCGTCAGCCTGCGAAGCGACGGCCCGAGACAGGTTTCATCGAGTGCTCCGAGGTGGGCGACAATGGCAACGAGGCGGCGACTGGCGTCGCGCCTGCAGAAACCAGCGTCGGGCGGGCGTCATCTGGGGGCCCCTCGCGATCAGCGGAGGGGGGGGGGGAGGCGACGGCCCGCCGCCGGCGAGGGTTCTGCGAGAGCGCGAGGCCGCGGGTGCGGAGTTCACCCAGGGCCCCCCTCCCTCTCGGGAGGTCGCGCAGAGTGCCCCATCCGCTTGCCCCGCCCGAGAAGTTTCATCAGCGCAATGCGCGGGAGGTGTGGGGGGTCGCGGATCTCGCCATGGAACGCCGAGGGGTCTTGCGGGCGGCGCGAGGTCGTTGAAATGCAAGGGCCCGCGCGCCCCTGATGGCTCTGTGACTTTCCGCCCACGCGGCCGCGGGCCATCTGTCGTGGGCGAAATTTGCGGCGACTTCTCGAACGAACGCGCTTCTTCATCGCGCGTCGCTGCGCGTGGACCGCTCGTTAGTTTTCTGTCGGGGGGGGGGGGGTCTGTCTGGCCTCGAGCCCTCGCAAGACCTGGAGACCGCTGTGCCACTGCGAGGGCGAAGAGGAACACCTGTTGAGATGTCAAGAGGATGAAGAAAAGAAGGGGGCCGTTACTTTTGCCCGCGGCCCTCCGTGACGCGCCCCCGCTCCTCTCTATCCGCCACCGTGCCCCCCAATCCTTCGCGCGCCGCCCCGTCCGCGGGGGTGGCCCTACTATCCCATCCGCAACGCATTGAGTGCATCGGCGCAGCTGGTGTGAACGCAGCATTTTTTCCGGTAGCGTAGTTCCTGCGTCGCGCTGGCGCGCAGTCGAGGCCCCCCCTATTTTCTTCTCCATCCTTCCATCGCCGGCGTCGGCGCGCCGGTGGCATTCGCAGGGGTTCCTCTGTGCGAAAGGGCAGCAGCCCGTTGCTTGCCCGTTGCGGGCTCGCTGATCACTTTTTTTGCTGCCGGGCGCAACCCGATCATTCGCAGGCGCGGGGCAGCGCGGGTTCAAGCGCGGGGCGCGCGTTGCGCGGTCGCGCAGGGCATGGCGGCGAGCACGCGCAGACAAACTATTGATGAACGTGCGGCGCGGAGCTGCGCGGTGCCACTGTTGGGCGCCCCCCCCCCTTTCTATTTCGGCGCCCCTTCGGCCGCCGCGCCCCGCGGGCGCGTTGGAGGAGCGCCGCGGCGCGGACGCAAATATAGCGTTCGCGGGCTGCGAGGGCATAAGCGCGAAGCACCTGCGAGGCCCAACGCACGCGCTAGACAGATGTCAGGCGCGGTCGGGCCAATCCGGAGGCGCATGCGCGCGCCCTTTTAAAAGTCATTATCGAGGCGTTGCCCGGTGTCCGAAGGCACCCAAGTTGGCGACGTCTCTCTCTCTCTCTCTCTCTCTCTCTCTCTCTCTCTCTCTCTCTCTCTCTCTTTCTTTCTCTCTCTCTCTCTCCCTCTCTCTCTCTCTCTGGGCCCAGCGAGTCGGGGCAGTAGTGTCGCGCCGGCGCCGGCGCCGCCCGGTGTGGCGCGGACGGTGCGCTCGCGCAGACGTCGCAGTTCAGCGGCCGCAGATTTCCTGACATGCAGCGCGCACGAGGCAGTCATCTGTCTCAGCCCCGCCCGCGCTTATCAATCGCGGCGCGCGCGCGCCAATTTGCAGCGTTCCAGAAAAGGTTTGGTTTTCGGGACTTGAAGGGGGTTGACACCTGCATCCCCGCGAAATGCTGCAGAAGGGCGTCGGAAATTGGTGGGCGCGAGATGGCGGCGGGGCCGCCGTCGGATGCTTGTCATCGGAAGGCTGATGGAACATGGTGGAAATTTGAAGAGAGTCCTCCCACAATGGCGCATTTCCTTGCATCAGTAGTTACCAAAACCAGCCAGCAATTTGGGTTGGAGGGGCAGTTCGTCCACGGGGGGGCGCGCGTTGTCCCCCAGATTTGCGACGTCCTGATTTTGCTAAAGCGCGGTTGCCGGAAAGTTCCGACCCTTTCCCCGTTGCGGGGCGCGCAATGGGGAGACGATACATGGCGGGGCAGCGATGGCGGCAGAAAAGGGACGTTTTAGGGCCCTTTGAAGGGGCCTTTCAGGGCCCCAGAGGGGGCCGTTTCGGGTCCGAAATGGACACCCTCCTTTTATCGCCCCCCCCTCATCAATTCGCGCCCAGCCCCAGGGGGCCGTTTTTTGACCGCATCGGGGCCCCGCGAAGGCCCCACGAGGCCGAAACATCCGAAATTCCGCCGTGCTGACAATTCCGCGACGCGAGCACAACCCAATCACGACGCGAGCATGGCTGGGCCTTCGCGCTCGCCCCCCCTCGCCATCCCTCTCTCTCTCTCTCTCTCTGCCCGCGGGCCCAGGGCGCGCCTCTTGGCCGACCGCTGTTGCTCCCCCGCCGGGGGGCGGCCGCCGGCGATGGAGGATCGGGCGGACGGCGTGGTCCCGGGCGGCGGGTTCCGGTTCAATCACTCGGTCACGAAGCTCTCTTTCATCTCGGGTCGGGCGACATGGGGGGACAGGGAAGGGTGTCGACTTAGGGGAACAAAGAGTGGCATAAACATAAAAACTCGGAAGTCCGCGCGGGTTTCTCGGATCGGCGCTGGGGCCCCCCGGCGGCGTCTCCGGCGCGCGGACCTCCGAGTTTATATGTTTATGTTATTTTTTGTTCCCCTACGACTACACGTTAGAGTGACCATCCGCCCACAGGGGGTCCCCCGATAGCCGAACTCGACGCGATGGTAGCGTTTTGCGCGCTTGCGTTTGAGCCCCCCGCGGCCCTCCAAAAGTTTGCACCAGGGCTCACTCTTACCCCGGGTCCCTCCTGCGTGTATAGCCGAGGGTGGGGGGTCGAAATCAGCGCCGCGCGGCCGGTTTCGGCCCCGTCGCCGGACGTTTTTTTTTGTCTGGTGCCGGGGGGCGCCGCGAAAAAAAGGTGAGCTGAATCGCTGACCCCCCTCTGTGGCATCCACCTCCGTCGGCCGACCCGATTGTCCCGGAGAAGGAGAGGGCCGTGGCCCACCGGTTCACCCTGGTGCTGTGCGGGGATGGCGCCGCGTCCCTGGCGAGGAGTCTGTGCACATCCGACGCCAGCGAGGAGTACAGGCCCAGGCGGAAGGCTGTAGAGACACCAGGCCTTGCGGAGTCCGACTCTGAAAGGAGGACCCTGTTTGGCGGGACGAGATCTGGCGGCTCAACGCTCACCAGCCGTAGTCGGAAATGTACAGAGGACCTGTCGGATCTGTTGCATGACGAGTTCACAACGTTATTTGTGCCGATGTCCCAGCATTTGTGCCGCGTGCGATTCGTGCCTGTTGATGCGTTTTCCATATCGTTGCCGATTTTCAGCGACAAAGCGATATGCAGGGACACCGCAGTGGTGTTTTTATCCAGCGGCCTTTGGCCCGCACCGCCACGGTGCCCTGATTGTGGGTTTGAGGGCGCGATGGGAAGGGGCGAAAGCAAGCACTCCCAGCTACCAGCTGTGGTCTTCGAGAGTCCTGTGTGGAGGGCTCCTAGGAAGCTGGATCGGGTTTCTGCGACCTCCATGCTGTCTCCCTCGTTTTCTGTGAGAATGGTATTGGATTAGTCCCCATGGACGGCTCCAAGGAACATGGCTTGGGGTTGTCATATTGCCGTGGGATATGCAATTTTTCACACCGTCGCCCATGCTTGCCGGCCATGTTCCTGGAGACCCGCTGTGGAGGTCTCCTCGTAATATGGTTGGGAATGCTGTAGTTCTGCTTTGGGTGAGAGCCTCTTCAGGGCCTGTTGGGGGCCCCTGGGTGCACTTTGGGACCTCCAGGGGGCCCTGCCTCAGGACGGCCCCGAAGTGGGATCTGGAGGGGCTCCAAGCAAGCTCGGAAGACACGCAGGAGCGCCCGTGGAAAGGCCCAGGGCTGCTCCGAGGCGGCTCCACGAGAGCTCCAAGAGCGGCGCCCCAAAAGCGGTGATCAACGGGTGGCAAGCTCCAAGGTGGCCCAAGGCGGTCCAAGAGCCTCAGAGATTCCCAAGGGGCCCCCAAGAGAAGCCGAACCCCTTCAACAAATAATGCTCCTTCCAACGCAGGGAATGAGGAACGGTGATGCAATGTCGGCCGGCGGACTACACTGAGCTGTCCCCCGGCCCACCGAGGAACGGCGTGTCAGATCTCGCCGAGCGGTTCTGCCATACATTGTCTCTTTCTGTCCTCTCATCTATACGTTCCTCGTTTTCACTCTATCCTCACAGTTCATAGCCGTTTTATCCCCTCCTGGGTTCCTCCCTGCAGGCTGGTCATTCCGCTGCCCCCCGCGCCCTGGCTGCACAACGGGTGTGCCCGGGCTCCGACTTTGCCCGCATGACATACGCACCTTGCCTCGCAATGCTTCTGACGCTTCCAGACGCCGACTGGAACCTCTCCAGAAGCCCTCTTGACCATTGGTCTCTCTAATGCCGTCTGGAAACCTCTTGAGCTAATTTGGCCCGGTGTAAGGACTCTCTTAGGCCCTCTCGGGCCCGTTGGGCGCCTTCTCAGAGCCACGTGGAGCCGAAAGCCCTAAAAAGTTAAACACCGTCAAACATTAAACGGTCTTTGACGATTTGGACTGTTTCGCGCATCTTGAAGTTCTTTTGGATCCTCTGGTGACATTCTTGGGCCTTCTTCCGCCACCTTCTGCTGTCTTGGAGGCCCCTTCGCCCGTTCTGCAGGCTTCTTGGAACCATCCTGGGCCGTGTGAGCGTGTTTGTCGCGCTCTCTTCAGCCTTCCTGGACGCCCCCCATTTCAAGACTCGTTTTAGGTCGGCCCTGTTCCCCCTCTTGGGGGCCCGTTTGGGGTCTTGGGGCCATCTTGTGGCTGTGAGAAAGGGGCTGGTTCCTGAATATCCCACCGGGTCTGTTTAGGGACCCCTGATGGGCCGCTCTTGGGGCCGTCTTGGTGGGCCCCTCTTGGGGTCATCAGAGCCCTATCAAGGTCCTCTAAGGTGCCGCTTCGGGCGTGTTGGAAGCTCGTGCGGCCGAAAGGAAGACATGTGTATCAGAGATGAGCCCGGACACTGGGTTATTGCAGTCTCGATGTGCACTATGCGGTGCAGCGCGTGGGACGCGAACCACGTGATCCAGCACATGTGGTGGAAACTGACAACAGTGCGTTCAAATGTCTTTGTTCATGATTCGTGGACCAAGCCATGATGTACAGGCCTTGGGCTGCAACGGTATATACAAATGCGTATAGGCATAGTGTGCAATTGATTGAATACATTATGTGGCGCAATCTTCGTGACGCAGTACACCAAGTGAATCATGCGTTGCCAAGCCCATTGCCCGTGCAAACACCCCAGCCTCGCACCCACAACTTGTTCGGCACACCTTGCGATTGCGGTGACTACTTGGCACTTGCTAGCGCATCTCTACGGCCGCTCTGGCGCGCGCACGCTTGCGCGCAGAGCAGTCAGCTGGTTTGGCTCAGTTGATGATGCCGCGATGGCGCTTACCGATGGGAACTTCCCAGCGCGTCTCAGAGGCCGCGCTGGCGCGCGGCCACGTTAGTGCGCGTCGGTGACCCGGGCGGTCGTGATGTCTTGATGGCATCGGCAATGGCGGCGACTATAATGTTAGTAGCGAAGGCGCACGCGATGACTACGTTTTCGACGGCAGGTCCAATGACGGCGCCAGTGTTGGTGGCGACGGTGACGATGTTGATGCTCGTGTGTCGGTGATGGGCATGATTTGCTAATGGCAGTGGTAGTGGCGGCGACCCACGCTCAATATATCAGCGATGGTGCAATGGCGCTGGTGAGGGTGATGATGACGAGGGGCGCGTGCGCGTAAATCCAAACAAATGTGGTTCAAGCAAAGTTGGTTGTCTGATATGTGATTGAGTAAACTCTGTCGTGAGACGTTTCGAGAAGCGCGCGCAGGTGACGCGTGGCCCCCATTCCACTATCTGATGCCTCGTTGTGCGCCCGGCGCATGATAGATCAACGCGGATGCGTCGCGTGGTGAGATGAGAATTTGCTACAAACATATAGGTCTTTTTGGTATCAGCAAGTCGGCGCGGGCAGAATAATAGTTATTTCTTGTGTTGTAGCCATCTGGTTTAAAAACGGTTTTATGTGGACCAGAATTCATCTCTCATGTTTTAGGTATATACTCGTTATTTGCGAGCGCATGGGGGCAGTGTGGCATTTCTTTGCAAAAGGGCTCCTGCAACATGATCTGATATCAACCATTGCGCGCATGGTATTATTTGTCATGAGTGATTGGGGTCGTCGATATTTGGTCGGGTTGATCAGAGAATACGAGATGAAAACAAACAAGCATGAAGGTGCAGCCTCGGCGATGCAATTTGCGTGATGCAAGTTCGTTTAGGCCAGCAGTGCCTGCCGTGCTCGCTGAGGCAAGGGTCCTGCCGGGCTCCCTGGCGGCGTTCGTGGTCGGAGCCCTGGCGCGGCCGTGGATGGCGCGCACAGGCCGAGTCAGCGACCGCCCCCGCCGCAGGGCGCACGTCGACGACTTCGCCCTCTGAGCCAGTGGCGCGGCCGAGGCCGGCGGCGACGCAGCGCGCGAGCTGTGGCAGGCGTTGTAGGCCACGGAGGCCTTCGAGGCGGCAATGGATTGGAGGCTGAACTGGACGAAATCGCGCCAGTTTGCTACTCGCGCGGCGTTCCCGGCGTTGGCTGTCGGACCAGGCGCCTGGAACTTGTGGGAACACGGGGTTCCGTGACTTGTGCGTGGCACCCACCGCTGGCAAGGCCCGTCGGTGCGCTGATTCCGCGGACCGGCTGGACGTCGCGCGGGGCCGTTCCTGCAGGCTGGGCAAGCTGCGGGTCGGCTTCAACGCGCGTTGCCAGCGGGGCGCTGCCGGAGGGGCGGCTGCTGGCCTGCGCGGCGCGGCATGCAGCCAGCCCCCGGCGCAGGACTTGGCCGGCTTCCGCACGGCGGCGCGACAAGCGGTGTGCCGCGGTGGAACGCGGGCGGCCGTCGGTGTCGTTTTCGGGGAGCTGGCGCTGAGCTGGCGGCTGGACATGGCGGCGGGGCGCCACGGCGGCCCTTGGCGCAGGCCACGGGCGCGGGTTCGGGCCCATTTCTGGCCGTTTCTGGAGCCCGGCGGAGCTGCAGCTGAGCGCGAACGTCGAGTGCTGGACCGGGGCGAGCGCCGCCCCCTCGGGCTGGCGCCCCGCCGACCAGAGTCTGCTCGACACCCGCGCCGTGCTGCTCGAAGCGTGGTCCAAGCGCGAAGCGCGCTCGCTGGCGGAGAGGCGCGCGGCCTTCCAGCGCGTCGCGGGCGGCGTTGACAGATGGGCCACGCGGCGGCTGCAAGTCAGCGGCGCGCTCGCGCCCGATGCTGCTGGGGCGCTCCGCGCCGTGCTCTTTGGGACTGCGGTGACCGAGACAGTGGCTGCTAAGTGGGGTCAGCCGGCACTTTGCCCCCGCTGCTGCGCGGCGCCGGAGGGCCTGGAACGCGTCGGCGGCAGCGCCCGCGCTGGGGGCCCACTCGGGCCGCCGCCTCGGGGCTCGCGAGCGGGCGCCGCGACGAGATCCACGCGAGACTGCCGCCTGAGACTTTCCTCGCGGGCTGCTGCCTGAGGGCCTGCGGCTAGCGGCGCTCGCGGGGCAGGCGCGGCTGCCGCTGCCGCTGCTAATTCTGCCTGGCCCGCATTGCCTGCGAGGTGGTGGCGCGGCGCGCGCATGGGCGGACGGGGCCCGCGCGCGCCCGGACGATCCGCTGTTTGCGAGAGCGGGCTGGGGGATCCGGCTGGAGGCGGCGGGCGCAAGGGGTTTCAGTGACCCAGTGGGCGGCGCGCAGACAGCCCAGCGGGCAGAACTCACCGCGGCAGCGCGCGCGCCGAGCCTGACCGGGGGGGCATCGCGGACCCTTGGTTCGTCAGTCGCGGCGCGGCGGCCATCCGCGACGGAGCCAACCCCGCGGAGTGTGCGCACTCGGATCTGTGGGGGCGCGTTGCTCCGCACTGCCGCAGCGGCGCCCTGCGCGCGAGGTGGGCGGAGGCGCGCTTGGACGCTGCAGCGGCCCGCGAGCGGGGGGCTCCCCGGAAGACCGTGCCGGCCATGCGGCCGCGGACCGCCTGGCCAGCCACGCGTTGGGGGCCCGCTTGCCAGCTCGCGCGCTGCTCTTTGTGCGCGCGAGGAGACTGGGCGCGTTCGCTGCCGCGCAGCGGGTCGGGTCATGGCAGCCGTGGAGTTGGCCGCGCTGAAGGCCAAACACGGCGACGGCGCCCGCGGGCCCCGCGCGCGCCGGCGCTGGGCGGCCCCAGGGCGCAGGCGGCGCGCGCCCCGCGCGGTCGACGACGCGGCAGTGGCGGCCGCCGCGGCCGCCCGAGCGCTGGCTCCGCAGCCCGCCCAGCGCCCCGCGGCGGAGGCGGGGGCAGCCGCCGCCAGCGCCTTCTTCGCTGGCGGTGCGTGGCGGGCCCACGTGGCGCCCCAGGGGCCCGCCTGGGCGGCCTGCCTGCGCCGCGGCTGCGGGGCGCCGACCTGGCGGCGGCTGGCGAGCAGGCCCTGCGGCAGCTGCGTTCCGGCGCCGCCGCCGCGCGCCGCCGCCCTGCCGCTGGCGCCGCCGGCCCGAGCGGGAGGCGCGGAAACCGCGTGGCGCGCGGCGCTGGGCCTGCAGCTCGCAGCGTTTCTGGGCGCGCCGGTTTAATTCGTCGCAGGTTCTATGCCCATCTCCTTTCTCTCTCTGTCACGGGGCGCTCCGTGGACGTTTGAAAACCAGAGAAGCATGAAGTGTGGATATTGATAGTTTACCAGAGTTCCAGGTTTTTCCGTCCATCCGCGCGGGCTCCAGGGACGAATGGTCGAGCGCATTCCGTCGCGTAGGTCCCTTGCCCGACGTGCGCGGTGCATTTTCGCGCATCGGGGCCCCGTCGGAGATTCCAAACTGCATTATGTTTGGCTTCTGGGGCGTCCGCGAGTCGCAGCTGCCGTGGCGCGATTTTCGAGGCGACCCCTTCGAGTGCTGCTCGCGCGCGCAGGGCGCGGCGCGCGCTGCCGGTTGCGCCCGTCAGACCACCCGGAAATTATTTCTGGATTATAGAATCTATAATGTTTCAAAAAGCGCGGCCGTTTTTTGTTCGAAAGCGGTTTCAGAGTTCTGTTGGAAAAAGAATTCCAGAACGTTTCAAGAAACCGTTTTGAGGGGTGGAGTGCGCCCGCCGCGCAGGACATCTGAAGAGTTCTGAATTCCAGAAATTCTCAAATGGTTTCAGGATGATTTTTTTTTCGAAATCGATTCCGCAATGTGTCGAAATTGGTTCCGGGATTCCAAAAGTAGGCCAGACATGTTCATAAACGTTCTTGGATGATCAGTACACTCTAGGAAAATGTCCAGAGTCGCGCGCGATTTGCCTTACCAGCCCTTTGGAAATCCGCAGATGCGCGCAGTGCGCGGCGGCGGGCGACGGGGCGGCGCGCCACCGCCCCCCCCCGCGCTCGGCAACGAGAACGGGGATCAGCAAATGCCAAATAGCCTTCTACGGGCGACTCCTCGACTGCGAATGGGTCGCCGACCAGCGGCGCCAGGCAGAGTAGACAATATTCGACGCAAAGTGCTTCTCGCGCGAAGGTTGTTAGAAATTTGGGAATCCCCGGAACGCATTAAAAACAAACTGTGCCAATATATTCGTATTGTCCCACATGGTGCAATCTGTGCGGCGCAAACTTTGTGAGGCAAGCCAGGTCGGGCAACCTGCGTCGAACACCGGGTGTAGACCATGTGATGTGATCCATGTGGCGCAATCCATACGGTGCAAGCCGCGCGTGCGTTCGGAAAGCAATCGGACACACGAGGTAGCGGCGACGCAGCGACTGGCGGCCACCCAGGGAAAACGGTTATACCGACTCACGAGGTCCTTTTTCATGGAAAAGCACGGGTCAGGAAATTCAAAGACGTCATCCGTTTTCCATGCTTGTGACCTCGTGTGCTGCGCCCCCCCCCCATCACAGCGCCCGCGTTGTTTCCGCGAGGGGATCAAAACAACCCCCGGGGGCTGTCCTGGGCCCCCCCGAGTGACTGCACGGAAAAGCCTCGCGTCGAGCCCGGGGGCTCCCACAAAGGCCCCGAGAGCGGGCGGCCCGTGGTCCTCAAGCATTATCCCTCCTCCTCCCTCCTCCCTCCCTCCTCCCTCCTCCCTCCTTCTCCTCCTCCTCCTCCTCCTCCTCCTCCTCCTCCTCCTCCCTCGTCTTCCCTTCGTTATCCATCCCCCCCTGATTGAGGGCCAGCCAGGGCCCGAGGGCGCTCCACTTCGTGCCAGCAGAGGCGCGACGGCGGATACCAGGGCTCGTCCGAGAGCAAGGGCGCGGCGGTGGACGAGGCCATACAGGACTTCAGGGCCAGGGTGGCCGAGCTCAACTTCCACTCGGAGCACGTGCCGCTCGTGGTCCTCCTCTGCGTGACGCCTGGCGAGGGCGACCTAGAGAGGCTGCAAGAGTTTGCCGGGGCAGCGAAGCTGCGCACGGGCGCTCCAGTCAGAGTCGTCGAGGCGGGCGACGACAGCGAGGACGGCCTCATCCTCACCGTGATCGACATCGCGGAGTTGCTGCGGAGGCACAAGGGCGGGTGGAGCAGAATCGTGGACAGCAGCGGAGGCCGCCGACGCTCCCAGTGCTGCGCACTGGTGTGAGCATGGCTGGCCCGCTCGCCGTTTTTCCCCCCAACAAAGTACTTGGACAGTGCGTACGGCGCACCGCTGGCACATGTTTTTTTGTAATTTCTCTGGTATCCCGTGTTGCTTGCCGACTCGTGGCTACATAGGGGTGGGCGCACACGTAATCGCGCAGCTTGTATAGCTGGTAGTCCCTCACTGTCAGCCCTGTAGATCAGGAGGGCCGCCATAGGGACAGAATGAATGGGAGCGGACGGCAGTGCCGATCCGTGTTGAGCAGGATTCGTTGTCGGTGTCGCCGTTGTCCATTTGTATCGAGTGTCGCCTGCCCGGTAGCGGTCTGCCGGTTTCACACAACATATGTTGTTGGGTATCCTCCACACCCGACGTCGGGTTTGTTTTTCGCAACGCGTACCCTTCAAGTCAAGAAGCCATACGCCCGTTGGCGAGTGGGCGAGACAACGCATTACACTGTACTGCTCCTGGTGGGCCTTGCCTCCGGCAGGGCGCGCGGGCAGAAGAATGTGAAAGTTGGTGCCGCGACGGACGCTAGAGAGCAAACCGCATCGCGATTGTGACGCAGAAAAATAACTCGTACCCCTGGAAGTCCCGATTTTTTACCCAGGCCCTGGTGCCCGGCAAACGCCCCAGAGGCCGAACAAGGGCAAAACGTTTCAGCAGTGATGGTTCAGTACGCGAAGAGGCGTACTTTCTTTCCGTCTCTATCTTGAGCGTTCTGAGAGGAAGTGCGTGGTTCTGGCTCTCTCGAAGGTGGCGATCTAGCCTCGCCTTCTGTTCTCGATGCGCAACGCGTGCCCCACGTCCCTAGCTGGCCGCGAACCAGGCGTTCCCAGCAACAGAAATTTCCAATCCATCATGATGCTTCGCCCTCAAGCGGTGGCTCTCTCTTCTCGGCGACCGTGCAGAATTGTGAGTGACAGGTGGCTTTGGTCCACCAGCTCCTCCTCTTCTTCCTCCTCCTCCTCCTCCTCCTCCTAAGCACGGACGGACTGGGCTGCAGGGTTCGGATTCAGGATGGCCGATATTCGGGACATAGCCGATGGGGGTCGAGGGGACGCAGAAACTGGGCAGAATCGGAATTCATACTTGGGCCCTCCATCCCAATGCGAGGAGGAGGAGGAGGAGGAGGTCGAGGAGGAGCAGGGATAAGCAGCAGGAGGAAGATCAGTAAGGCGGATAAAGAGGAGGTGCAGCGCGGAGGAGGTATCGGAGATGGAGGATGAGGAGGAGGAGGAGGAGGAGGAAGAGGAGGACGAGGAGGAGGGGAGCAGCATGAGGAGCAGGAGGAAGAGCAACATAAGTAACAACAATAACGAACAGGGAGGAGGTGGAGAGGGAGGGGGAGGAACGCAGAGGAGAGATGAGGTGGAGGAGAGGGAGGGGGAGGGGGAGGAGGAGTGGAAGGAGGAGGAGGAGGAGGAGGAAGAGGCGAAGGAGGAGGAGGAGGAGGAGGAGGAGGAGGAGGAGGAGTAGGAGGAGGAGGAGGAGGAGGAGGAGGAGGAGGAGGAGGAGGAGGAGGAGGGAGGAGGAGGAGGAGGAGGAGGAGGAGGAGGAGGAGGATGGATGATGATGATGATGATGGTGATGATGATGATGATGATGATGATGATGATGACGACGACGATGATGATGATGATGATGATGATGATGATGATGATGATGATGATGATGATGATGATGATGATGATGATGATGATGATGATGATGATGATGATGATGATGATGATGATGATGATGATGATGATGATGATGATGATGATGATGATGATGATGATGATGATGATGATGATGATGATGATGATGATGATGATGATGATGATGATGATGATGATGATTTTCGTGCTCCCTCTGTTGACGCCGAGCGTGCCAGCTGCAGAGAGTGCACTACGCACAGGCCGCACTCGCACGAGTGAGGAACGACAGATCAGAGAGAGAGAGAGAGAGAGAGAGAGAGAGAGAGAGAGAGCCCAACTCTCCAGAACCACCTCCGCGCGTCCTGTACGCGGGTGTTGGTTTCGCTCGAAGCGGCTGCGCCGCCCTTTGGCCATCTTGGCCATCACGAAACCAGGCTTGCGGGCTGGGCAAGGCTCTGCCAGCCCGTTCGGCAGCAACTGCGCATACTGCGTACACCGAACACAGTACAGCAGAATGTCGCCTTGCTCAGCAGGCGTGCCACTGGGCGCGATGATCGTGCCTCACAGAACATGCGATGCTGCGTGCTGCGCAGACGTCGCCAGCTCGGGGTCGCCTCGCGCCCACATTCGTAGGCCATTTCAGCCTTCCAGCCATGCAAGCACTGAACGCACCGCCAGCGGCCATCAGCCGCCTCGTGCAGTTCGTGCTGGAGAAAGCACGGTCTGACAGCCGACGGGGGAGCCGCACGCGGGGGCAAGTGGGCCCACTCCACCTTGGGAGCTGGCCCACTTGCCAGCACGCGCCCCAGGCTCATCAAGCCACGGCGCGCCTCAGCGCACGTATGTTCGAAGCGCACCTCGTCGTGGGCGTCCCTGGGCCACAGGTTGAGTGCATTCTTGGCCGCATCGCCGGCCCACGAGTTGAGGACGACTCGCCACTCACCCTCGCTCTGAGGGGCGGCTGGGACGTCCCGGTGTGACGTGATCTCGACACGCGCGCTGTACGCGAGATCGCCGCGCCTTACTCGGCGCCAGAGCCCAGCGTCTGCCCACGCTGGACTAGAGGTGCACATGCACCCGCGCACTCTGGCAGCCCAAACTGCCGCGTTGTCGCCTATGTTCGCAGGCGACCCGTCTGAGGATTCAGCCCCAAGGCAGAAAGCCTGGAGCTCGGCCACATGAGCGGTAGGAGGGAGCTGAGAGGTGAGAGATCCTAGGAGCTTGCGAACGACCCCGTCCCCCCCGCCGCTGCACCACCGTCCACCATGCCCTCCGAACCTCCTCGAGGCGGCTGGTGGTGGCCGAGCCATCCCCCGCCAGCGGCGGTTCGGGGTGACACGCGAAGCGATTCAGATCAACAGGCACGTCATCCTCGAAGGCTCGCACGATCACCTCCGCAGGCGCGCACGGGAGGCCAACATCGGGCTTGGCAGGCAGAAACAACGCCTCAGGACAGAACGGTTTGACGCCTTCCTTGCCCTCGCGCCGACGCTGCAGGAGGGTGGGAGGAGGCGGTGCCACTTTTGCTTGGCCGACGTCCTCCATGTAGAAGCACACCATGCGTTTCGGGGCGTGCTCGAGGGCCGAGATGCGGCCGAAACGCGGCGAGACGACGGTTGTGGCGTTCTCGACCTGCCAGCCCGCGATCGTGGTGGCCTTCAGCGCTGCGCCGATGGGCCCCGCCTCCGCTTTGCCATCCAGGTTGTCCTGCATGACCTGCTCGAAGACGCGCCTGAGCGTGGTGATGGGCAGCACCCTGTCGTGGCGGTGGCGCTGGCCAGTAGCCCTCCACCACTCCTCCAAGTACCTGCCCAGCGGCATGAATGCTGTCTTGCCCATCGGGTCCAGTTCGAGGTAGATGTGCCGAAGACGTCGGGCGACATGTGGCCGTGCCCGTAGACCTGCTTGGTGATGCGCCTGAGCCCCTCGAGCTCCTGGAGCGTGAAGCCGCTGACCTCGCCTCCCCACTTCTTCATGGGCAGGATCGCTGCGTGGAGGGTGCGCCTGTTCTTGCAGAAGGCCTGCATGGCACGAAAATCCATCGACATCCTCAGCTTTGCCGCCTTCCACCCTGCCCATCGCACAGGCCCTGGGTGAATGCTGCGCATGACTGCTCCGTATCGTCGCTCGCCTGCACGACGGTCGGCTCTAAGGTGGCGGACCGTTGGGGCAGGCCTGCCTGGCTGGCGACGGCGGTGTCCACTTTTGCGCTCAATCTGCTGCGACGTGCCCTCGGCCTGGGGAGGCCGAGCCCTGCAAGTCTGCGCTTGCCCTCGAGCGTGAGCTCGTCGCTGTTGCCCAGGATGGTGCCCTTCGCGTCGGCCACCTGCGTCTCGAGCTCGTCGTGCAGCACGCTGGTGAGCTCGCGCGCGGCCTCCACCATGATGTCCACGCGCGTGGCGCTGTTGCGCGCTACCACCTCCTGGCTGAAGTCGTCTACGTGCACGGCGGTGCCCACCTCTGGGCGCGCTTCAGCTTGCGCCTTCAGCTGGTCCAGCAGGTAGGCCTGGAGCGCACAGGTTGACGAGAAGCATGCTGCCACGATGCCATTCTCGGGGCGCAGGGCGTCGCCTGCCAGGCCGCCAAGCATAAAGACGCGGCACCACCTGAAAGCTCCGATGATCACCCTGAGGCGGCACAGGATGTCGTGGGAGACCTTCTCGAAGGCCTCGGCCGAGTCCCACAGCAGGATGAGGCGTGCCATCTCCTCCCCCGTAGCGTCCTCGGCCCTCGCCGCCGCTCGCCAAACACAGTCAGTGACTTTGCGCGAGGTGCCCGTGTTGAAGATGGCCCGCTCGTCCAAGCTGTGTTGCCAGACGCAGAGCTGCCCTTTGTGGCACCTGCCCCGCACCCGGCACAGGCTCTTGAACTGCCCGGTGGGTCGGCGGCCTCCAGCTGGCTTGACGTATTGGGCGGTCGGCATCTCATGCTCGTCGGCGGGGAAGACTCCAGCCTCCGTGATGAGGTTGAGTAGCTGGGGGAGCGGCTCCACGTCACTGAGCCAGCCTAAGTGGCGTGGGTGGATCCCGCCTGGCTGGCAGGTCTTGGCCTTGAAGGACCTGCTGACCTTGCTGGCCTGCTCCGCGGTGAGGAGGTGCTCGCGGTGCTGGTGCCCATTGGTCTCGATGGCGGCCGTGATGGCCGCGCGCAGGGAGGAGAAGATCACTTCGGACTTGTCGGGCGGCCTGACGTTCCACACCTTGGCCCACTCCTTCTGGTGCTTGGTGACGGGGGCCACAGAGCAGGCACAGCGATCCTGGATGTGCTCAACCTTGCCGTCCACGACCTCGGCCGCACCTTCGCAGGCCGCTGAGGATGCACTTCCCCACGTGCTCGACGAGCCTGGCCACAAGCTCGATCTCGCCGAAGATGGTCACGACGGTCTTGAGACACGGCTGGCCTGGCCAAGCGGCGCCGCGGCCGCAGGAGGCTGAGGGCGTGCTTCTCCTGGGCCATTCACCTGGAGCGACAGCGCTGGGACTGCAACCTCCCCTGTGGGCGCGGGGCCCCTGGGCTCAGCCGCATTCCCAGCGCAAGCTATAGGGCTGCCATCCAGATCTGCGAATGGATCAGCTGCAGGATCGTTGAGGTTGTAGGCTGGGCAGGTCGCACCCCTGTCGTAGCTGCGCGTCACGTCCTGCTTGTCACTGGCCGACCTGTCCACCATGGGGCGGTCGCGTGGCCGTGCCTGCCACGGAGGGGGCCTTAGGGTGCTGAGCGAGCTGCTCCCCTACCCCCCCTGGCCATCACGCCGCCCCTCGAGGCTGCCGAGGCCCCGCCCGAGCTGCCCCTCCAGCAGCGGCACGCTCTCTGCCCCGTACTCCACAGGAGCGCGGAGGGCCCACGGGCACCTCGGCGGCCTCCAAAGAAGTTCACCTCGCCGGCCGAGATCACCGAGAGGTTCACCTCGTACATCGTCCGCTCCAATTGTGATCTCGATCTGCTCGAGGGTGGTCTGGACCAGGTGGTACCACTCGCCGTAGTCACCAGGGTGCGGTTGGCATTGCAGAACTTACCTGTGCGCTGCACGGCGGTGCGGCACGCCTGGATGGCCACTCGTAGCTTCCTGCAGTAGTGGTCGGGCGGCTCGGGGTCCTTGTCGCCAGCCAGCCCCTTGATCTGCCGCAGCTGCCCTGCCAGCCAGGTTAAGCCTCTGCCTGGCGTGGTCTTGGTGTTGTCCTTGGTGACCCAGACCTCGGGCAGCGGGACCTGCTTGAACTTGAGGGAGCCTCCCCGCAGCTGCGTGTCCTTGGCATCTCGGTCAACGATGCCCTGGGCATCCGTGCGCGCGGTAGCCAGTTATGTAGCGCGCGCGCGCTGTCGACGGCCGACTGCTTCTCGTCCAGGGTGAGCTCGGGGTGGTCCAAAAAGCTGCGGTACGACTTGGCGGTCTCGATCTGGCTGTCGCTCCAGTCGGGCGGCTGCTGCCTCGGCCCCACTGGGCAGGTGGTGGGCATAGACGCCGCACTGCGCGGGGCCTTGACCGTGGGCCACTCGGCCTTGAGCTTCACCTGCATCCTGATGGCGTCGTGCGTGGCCAGGCAGAGGGACGGGTCGATCTTGGGCTGCTGCATGGCTGTTCTTGCGCGCCCTCCTGTGACGAAGTAGGCCCTTCATCGTGTGGGTCCCTCCGCTGGCGTGGCAGGTAGGGTCGTCCGAGATGTGCACCAGGTGTCCTGGTCCACGGAAGCCCGCGACGCTGGCCAGATCGTCGGGGTCCATATTCCAGTCCTCGCCCATGATCCAGAGAAGGCCGTGCCGCGCCTGGTGCTCCTTGAGCTTGTACGGGATGTCGATGGTCTGGCCCTTGAGCCCGACGCCCACCTCCAAGTGGGCAGAGTAGAGTGCGACCACACCCATCCCAGGAAGACGAGCGCACCTAGCACACGCTCTACCTGGCCAATGGACCTGGCCCTTGGGGTCGCACCAGAAGTCGACGCATTGTTGGCTAGCACGGCGACGCCCCCCTGGCGCCCCTCGTGTTTGATAGTGGCGGGGACGAACGACATCGCCCAGCCTTCGTTCCTCAACGTGCGCCTGATCTCCAATAGCCGCCCACGAGACTGCTTGCGTTCTTGCACGAACAGGATGGCGTCGGGGATCAGCGGCAAAATGTCGCGTCCAGTCCCCCAGGAGGTGATGTTGGCTGCGACAAAACTGAGGCGCTGGTGCTGGACCTCCCCCCCTGAGGAACTTGCAGAAGATAGCGACTCATCAGCCTGAGACCCCCCATCGTTTGTTTAACCCGCTGCCGCTTCTTGGCCATGCCCAGGCGCATGGCGAGTTCCTCGAGGGCCCTCCTGCTGTCCTGGGAACTGCATGCCTTGCGGATCTCGTCAAAGTCATTATCCTCCAACTCGGTCTCGATGGTCGTGGGAGTGCTGTCAGCTTGGTCTGCGTCCGCAGCGCCTCCTTCTTCAGGCTTGGCACTGGCCACCCATGCCTGGTGCTTAGCGAGCAACTTAGCCACCATCTTCACCGCTGGTGCCTCCAAGGAGGCTGCCTCGGTGCCAGAGCCAGAAGACGCCGAGCCTGAGTAGTAGCGTCGGCCGAGGTGTTAGGCGGGCCCAGCGGCATGGCGCGCACCATGGCCTGGTTGAGGCTGGTCTAGAGCTCGGCGTTGTTGGTGATGGCCTGCGTGATGGTGGCCTTCTGGCTGGCGACGGCGGCTTCGGTATCCTCGACCATCTTCTGCGCCGCGACGACATCCTGCTGCTTGCCCACCAGGTCGGCCTCGAGCTGCGTTCGCCTGGCCTTGGCGTTGTCCAGCCTGGCGCCCAGCGATGTGACCTCCGCCTGCAGCCCCCTGATGGCGATCCTGCGTTGCTTGAGCTTGGCGAGGTCCTGCTCCAGGCTGGCCGCGTCGATGCCGCCCGAGCGGAGGGTGGGGATCGTCTTCTCGAGGCTGACGAGCCTCCACCTCCTGGAGCTCAGGGTCGGAGGCTGGGGCTGCATCTGCGGCGTCAGGTGCAGCGCCATCGGCCCCAGAGCGCTCAGGGCGGAGCTGGAGGTGGCCTGCCACGACCCCGCCTGTGGTGAGCCGCTCGAGCGCTGCCGTGCCGCCTCCGACAGCTCCTCCTGCAGCTGGGCGGGCGCGCGACTTGGCCCTTAGCCGAGCAGCGCGGCTCTCGCGCTGGGCCACCGCCTCATGGTGGGCGAGCTGCGCCTTGCAGGCGATGTGCGGCGGGGCTTCGCGCCCGCAGAAGCATGCCACCCTGTTGGCCCACAGCCCGTCTTGGCGGCAGCCTGGGCACCTCTAGAACGGCTCCTTGGGCCCCAGCAGCACCTTGCGACTTCCAGCGCCAGGTGCAGCAGCAGCAGGAGGCTTCGGCGGCATGGGCACGGCGCCCACGTGCTCGCCGCGGTGCCCGCTGAGGGCTTCCTGGACCCCGGCCAGCCGCAGGGCGTAGCGGGCGCTGGCCCGTCGCCTCCGCAGCTTCCTGTGCCGGGCAGGCGACCGCGAGCGAGACCGCACACGAGGGATGGCGGCGGCGCCACCGCGCGCCACGCCAGGGGCGCAGCGCGGCGCCGCAGGTCCGAGATTGCGGCGGGCCCGCGGCGACTGGGGGCTCGGAGCGGGCGGGCCCTCCCCACGAGGCCGCGGCTCACGAGCCACCTGAGGAGGAGGATGGGGGAGGAGGAGGAGGAGGAGGAGGAGGAGGAGGAGGAGGAGGAGGAGGAGGAGGAGGCGGAGGCGGAGGCGGAGGAGGAGGAGGAGGAGGAGGAGGGAGGAGGAGGAGGAGGAGGAGGAGGAGGAGGAGGAGGAGGAGGAGGGAGGAGGGAGGAGGGAGGAGAGGAGGAGGAGGAGGAGGAGGAGGGGAGGAGGAGGAGGAGGAGGAGGGAGGAGGGAGGAGGAGGAGGAGGAGGAGGAGGAGGAGGAGGAGGAGGAGGAGGAGGAGGAGGAGGAGGAGGAGGAGGAGGAGGAGGAGGAGGAGGAGGAGGAGGAGGAGGAGCAGGAGGAGGAGGAGGAGGAGGAGGAGAAGGGGGAGCAAGGGGACTGTCACGCTACGTTCCCACTCGTGGGCCGCCTTGGGGGGCCCTCTCGCCACCGCGGGTTCGATTTTCCTCGAGGTCCTCAGGATCTCCAGACGTCGGCTTTTTTTTTTGTTCGTGACCCCCTGGCAGGCCGCCCCCTGCAGGCGCGCGCGCGCAGCCGTGGCGCCCCACCCGCCGCGCAGGCGCCGAGGCCTCCAACCGGAACTCGTCGGCGCGCGACTCGCGCGTCGGGTCGCGGGCGTGCGCCTCGGCGCGCGGGCTGTGAGGGGTGTCGTCGTCGTGGTCGTCGTCGTCGTCGTAGTCGTCGTCGTCGTCGTCGTCGTCGTCGTCGTCGTCGTCGACTTCGTCGTCGTCGTCGTCGAGGATGAGGAGGAGGAGGTTGCAGTTTGGAGCTTTGGGATAGCATGTCGCGCTGCCGGTTCTGGCCCACCCACGCCTCGGCGCGACGCGCTGTCCACGTCCCGGTCTCCCCAGGCATCGACGGTCCGAGCCTTCCGAGGCCTCCCGGCCTGCGGAGCGGGGCGACACGCTGGCCGCTCATGGGGCATGGCGTATCGCAGGGGCTGCCGCCGCGACACGCTGTCCCAGAGCTCCTGCCCGTACAGTGCCGTTTTAAATACATGCTCCGCGTGCGGATCATGTATTCAAAATGCAGGGATTTAGCATCAAAAACAACGATGAGTCCATGCATTATTTCTTCATAAATCCATCATGTATTAAAAACCATAGATTAAAACAAATCCGGTGTATTAGAAACTGCCCTGTAGTCAATCGAAAAACGGCGGAATCATAAACTTCCGGAGCTCCGCGGGGATCTCTTGGGTCTGCTCTGGAGCTCCCTCGCCGCGCCTCTTGGCGCCGCCCCAGGCGCCTCCCCCGGCGCCGCTCCAGACGGGCTCCGCGCGCCAGTAAGGGGGGTCCAGCGCGGATGCGAGGAACACGTGCGGACCGCCGAAAGTTTATGTGTATGTTCGTGCAGATCTTGCTGCTCCTCTAGCCCGGCTGGGACAGCGCAAGGAGGCGCCACGACGACGTTCACCGAGAGCGAGAGGTGGACCAGAGGCATCCGCCCTGGCACTCCGCCCGCCAGGTCGGTGCCTCGTCCACCCACCAATCCGGCGCTGGGGCAGGGAAGGCACGGGCGAGTGGGCAGGGAGAGGCTGCCGCTTTTAGAGGACCATTCTGTCATGCAGACTGCTGGAGGGGGGGGTTGGGAGGAGGAGGGAGGAGGAGGGAGGGGATGGAGGAAGGAGAGGTGGTATGAGGAGGGAGAGGGGGGGTGTTGGTCCCCTGCTTACCACTCCTGTCGTTTTCCATTGGAGCGCATCCGATAGGACCGCGCCCCCGACGAGGAGGAGGAGGAGGAGGAAACAGAGGTGGGATGAGGAGGGAGAGCAAGAGGAGGAGGATGAGGAGGATGAGGAGGAGCAGGAAGGAGGGAGGGAGGGGGGTAAGGAGGGATGGTGTAGGATGAGGCAGGGGGAGCAGAAGGAACAGGAGGAGGAGGAACATGGAGGAGAGAGGGAGGGAGGTAGGGAGAGATGATATAGTATAAGGCAGCAGAACCAGGAAGCGGAGATGGAGGGGAAGGTTGACCAGAGTAGCCCCAGGCTGCATCATCAACACGATGCTGTAATGCACTCGCCCGTCCACAACATGAGCGCCACTTAGACAAGCACCCGACGGGCCTGCAATTCGTGCGAGATCCGCGTTTTGAGCTGGAGCTGCCTGAATCCTGCTAGCAACATCAGGGGAGCCTTTCGCTGTGTCTAGCAAGAGTCCCCTTTTGAAACGGCGCCGCTCCTCACTGCAAGGCTTCACTTTCAGGTCCAGTATGTGAGGAAACCTAAGCGAGAACCACCGCCTGAAAAGGCTGCGCTCTCCATCCGTGCAGGTGGTACATCGGTTCAACATTCTGGTCGTTACACTTTGGGAACTCTCAAGCGAAAGGCATATCTTGATTACGAATTACCCCCCACACGTGTAACTGTGCCAGGCGTTTGAGAGAAATGGTCGCGGCGTTACTGTTACGGCGACAGCCTCATTTTGAACACCAGGTGGAAGCCTTTCAGACGAACGCATGCTGGTCCAAGGCGATAGCCCAAGTGTACAAACGCCCCGCGTCCATTCTGGTAGCGACTTGAGACTTTTGGGGCGACTGTGCGCGGCGCTCAAGCGAGAGCCCCATTTTGACCCCTCCCCTCTGTCCTTCTAGTAGCTGCAAGCTGTTAAGGTGAATGTGCGGGGCGCTCAGGCGAGAACCACTTCTTGAAAACTACCCCACCCATCCTGGTGCGTGTTGCAAGCTTTTAGTACGAATGTGCGCGACGCTCAGGCGAGAGCCCAATTTTGGAAATTGACCTCCCTCCATCTTTCTGGCTGTTGTAAACCTTCAGGCGGACCATCGCAGCGCCAAGGCGATAACCCCATTTTGTCACCCCCACCCCCCCTCTGCATCCGTGTAGCCGATACAGATTTCACGACTCAGCATCGTAACTGGCGCGGGAATCTCAGGCGAATCACCGGGTCCGCCTTACGCGTCGGGGGGGGGGTACGACAGGGAGATAGTTGTATGAACGGGGACTGGGCGGGAAGGAGGAGGAAGAGGAGGAAGGGGTGACGGCGTTTGTTTTATAGCACCAGTACCCCTGAACAGTCCGTCGTTTGGCTCGATGTATGCGTTGCTTCCCTCCCGCACCTTCGCAGGCAATCGCCGTCCTTAGCTACGCATGGAAGAGCGCGCTATCCACACTTGCATGGTAGTGGAACGAGGCCATGGCAAGACCCGCACAGGTAACACCGACTGCACGCCAAGAGTGGTCCGAACACAGTAAACATAGAATTGCGTCACAGCAGGGTGACTCATACGATTTCACCACAGCCGCTCTTCAAGCTAACCATGCGGGAGCAGTTAATAGTATTGGTGAGCAAGAATAGGTAGGTAAGATATAGATGTTTAACGAACGTGACTTCGCAGTCGTTCAAATCGGGACATCAAGCGCAGCGCTGCTGACAAGAATGAACCGTGAGCAGATGCACGAGGAAGAAACCAATAACCAATGCACCTTCGCGTCGTCCTCGTCGTCGGCGCACCTGCGTCCGCCCCGCGCGCCGTTGCTGACGCTACCACCGTTGCAATCGCCGTCGGCGTCGCAATCGCCGTCGTCGTCTTCGCCGGAACAGTTTAGGACGATTTTGCCAAGCCGTGAGCCCAATTTGCTACATGGGCGGCCTCTGAAGGGACTGATGCAGAGCCCAATGTACTAAACCCGTTTCGTAAATTTGGTTTTGTTTTGGGCAATCCCCCTCGATTCCGCCCCCCGCCCTCCCTCCCCCCGGGGCCCGCCGCGCCCGCGCACCCGCCGCCGCCGCTGCGTCTAGCTACGCTGGCGCAGGCTGGCGACGACACGGCGACTTCGACGACGACGATGACGCGCTTGTGACGGTGAGCAGGGCGAGTGGAGGTGCGCACTGACGAAGGCGACGCAATGGTGTAGTGGTAGACGACAATCATTGACCCGCTAGGGACCTCGGCCTCCTCTTGGATTTCAGAGTTACCTAAAATGATACCTTGAACGCCAATGTGAGGTCTCTTGGGTTTGCTATCGTTGCGCCGCCGCACTTTTTGAAGTCATAACTTGTTCCTCCTGGCTACATCCAAACGACGGTGACAGCGACGACGAAGGCGGCGACGAACGACGACGACGACGGACGACGACGGACGACGACGGCGACAGCGACGGCGTCGGCAGCGACGACAGCGGCGGCGGCAGCGACGACGGCGGCGGCGACGAACGCCTCTGCCTTCGGAGGCCCTCCGGAGAGGAAGATGGAGGGGGAGAGGAGACCCATCACACATCGCCTTTACGACAGTTTTCGCAAATTTGGATCAGTCGCTTCTGTGGTGGTGGCGGTGACGCTTCTTCTGGATTCGCATGGCCTGGCGGCGGTGTGCGACTAGCACGCCATTTGCACGGGAAGATGTTCAGGTAGACCATGAGTTCATTTGGCCTAGCGGCGGTGTCCGATAAGAGCCCTGCTTCCCAGGTCGACTTGAAGGAGCTTTCCCTGCGAAACAACGATGTTCATACCTGACCAGAAGATGTTCAGGTCGAGCTAACAGTGCCGGGGTGATTCCCGTGTCTGGAATCATACAGCTCGGTGGCGTTTCCCGGTTTATGCCCCGCTTGGCGGTTACATGGGTACAAGGGTTTGAACGGACTTGGAAATGAAACCTCGAGGTGCATGCGGCCCATCATGCCACTGGCGTGGCCCACGACCCTGTACAGGGCCCCGCGCGCCGGACGAGGGCTCGTGTCTTTTTTTGCGTCTGCCCAGACTCGCTCACTCACGACGCGCGTGCACGGCGATGCCTTGTGCTGACGATGCCATGCGCTGGTTCGTTTTTGTTGCGAGGCTGTCGTACGCAGTCAGTGTGCCCATCACGTCCAACAAGTTTCCAGCAGGAGGGGAGAAGAGGAGAAGGGGGAGGTAAAACTGATGCAACAAAGCCAAGCAGATGCCCGGCCAAGTGCCACATCATGCGTACGAGCGGCTTGTTTACCAGATCAGCCGAATGGGAGGCCGAGGGCCCTCGTCGGTTGATCAGAACAGGTGCAAGGCGGAGTCGCAGATTGGAGAACATAGCCAAATAACAGTTTGAAACATGGCCTCCGAACAAAGGTCATTGACAATTTAAATGCAGGCAGGTGTCGAGGTGACCAGAGAGCGATAATCAAGTCAAAGCAATCCAGGCGCTCAATATATTCAACGGTGACAGATCGGAATTTCTCGAAGGGAACGATCGGCTACTCAATGCGTTAGCACAGGTAATCGTCGGAAATTGTAAAGCACCATATAACGCTAAACGCAAAGGTAGAAACCATGGATGGAGCGGCGCCAGGCCCAAGCGAGGATGACCACGCGCAGGGCCGAATCTTCAACTTTTTGTGTCTCCCCTGCTTCTTCTGCGTCTTCTTCCACTTCCTCGTCTCACTCTTCCAATCAGTGCTTGCACTGAAGGGGTCCTAGCGGATGTTGAAAGAATAGGCGAATGTTCCGTGCCGCTTTCGGTATGAGGCTGGATTCCCGTGTTCGGATTCCTGGGTTCCTGGGTTCCCGGTTTTGGGTTCCGGGCCGATTTCGGTGGTTGTTCCCGGGTTTTGTGTTTTGGGTCCCGAGTTCCCAGCGTTGTAAGGTTCCAGGGTCTTCGAGTCGTTGGCTGCTGCCAAGTGCCCAGGTCTTTGCGACCACGGTGATAATGATATAGAAGATGGTATGAATAAAGAGAACATATCAGACAGGGAGCATAGTTGAGAGATAGCAGACTGGATCATGTGCAATACGCAACACAGTTCTACATACAAAATCACCCACAGAGAGCATCGCATGTTGAGTGGTCTAAGCAGTAGATCAAATGAAAACAAAGTATCCCAGTGCGACCCTACCTAGGAGTTGGAGCATCTAGGAAAGCAACATCTACATCTACACCGACAGCTACATCAACATCTACACCTGCATCTACATCTACATCAACATCAACAGCGAGACTCACATCTACACCTACATCTACACCTACATCTACACCTACATCTACACCTACATCTACATCTACATCTACATCTACATCTACACCTACACCTACATCTACATCTACATCTACATATACACTTTCGCATTGGTTTTGTTTTTGCTTTGCATTGCCCTGCCTTTGCTTTTGCTTTTGCTTTTGCTATTGTTTTTGCTTTGATGTTGTTCTTGCTTTTGCTTGATGTTGTTTCTGCTTTGCCTGCGCACAGACACACACACACACGCATGTTTCCGCATTCGCTCACCGCGTGTGCTTGAGAATGCTCCGTATCCAGTGTACTACCGCACGACTTGGCCATCTTGGGCGTCTTGGGACGCTTTTGGGACGTTTTTTGGGGGCCTCTTGGGAGCCTCTTGGGCCGTCTTGAAGCGGTCTTGAGGGCGTCTTGGACCGTCGTCAACGCTGTGAAAACCGAAAGGCCGTGTATGGCGAAAATGTATGTTTCCTATAGCGAATCAATGATTTTGGTCTCCTGGTGGCCTCTTGGGACGCCTCTGTGGCGCCGTGCTGAACATTGCTTTTGCTTTGCCTTTCCTTTTCTTTTGCTTTGCTTTGCTTTGCGTTGCTTGTGCTTTGCTTTGCTGTCGCTGCTGTTGCTTTGCCTTTGCTTAGCTGCTGTGCTATGCTCTGCTCTGCTCTGCTCTGCTCTGCTCTGCTGCGCTGTGCTATGCTGTGCTGTACTGTGCTGCGCTATGCTATGCTATGCCATGCTATTATGCGCTATGCTATGCTGGGCTATGCTATGATATGCTGTGCTGCGCTATGCTATGCAACGCTGTGCTATGCTCTGCTGTGCTCTGCTATGCTAAAGCTCAGCAGAGCTAAGATGAAGGTAAGCTAAGCTAAGATAAACCTGAGCTAAGATGAAGCTAAGCTAAGCTAATATGAAATAAGCTAAGCTAAGATGAGATAAGCAACGCTAAGCTAAGGGGACGCAGCTGGGGAACCGCGGGGCGGATCCTGGGGGAACCGCCCGGGGCGCTTTGCACTGCCCAGCCCTTTTAAGCCCACAGAGTAAGAACCCTTCTAGGCAGAGCCTAGGTAAGGAAAAAAGAGACCGAGTGGAGAGAGCGAGAGAGAGAGAGAGAGCGTAGGGAAATTAGTGTATACATGTATCTATCTATCTATCTATCTCTATATATATATATATATGTGTGTGTGCGTGTGGAATATTTGATAAATTTCCTCGCCTTTGGGGATCGATGAAATTGCCGCCTCTTCCTCGGCCGAGGGCGGCGGAAGGCCGGCGGAAGGCGGCGGACGTAAATGTCGACTTCCCGATTGATGGCAAGATCTTTTGGTTCAGGGTTCCATGCATTTTTATGAATAAGGGAGTAGAGCTCAGAGGCGATGCACTGGTTCCGTGCGCGATTTGTCTTGCCGTTCTGCTCGGGACACCGTCAAGTCTTAAGAAGAAAAACAGAAGAAGGCGGTGGCACCCCTCACGCAGATCGTGACATCAGGGTCCAAACACACAGCCCCTTTCAATCAAACATTGTAACGTAAAACCTTCAAAAACTTGTTTGAATTCACGGGTTTGCGTCCGGTCTTCGAAATTCGTAGTTTCGCCAGAGCACCCTTCAAACATAACCCTTTCTGACCACGAATCTGGGAAACATGGCCGTTTGGCCTAGACATCCTGCCGAAATTGAGCCCTTGCGTAGACCACATCGAAAGCACACAGCACAGCACATTGTACACACACGCACGCACACCACACACAACACACCACACACACAACACACAGAGAACGCACACACACAACACCTGCAACACACATATCACACAGAGGATACACACGCACACGCACACACACAACACAAACACACACAACATTACACAGCACACACACACAGACACGTTACACGCAACGCACAGTTCGCACACAACACACACCTAACACATAACAGGCAGAACACACATTACCCACACATAACTCACACAGATCACACAAACAACACACACACACCACACGCACACACGACACAACACACAACACTGAACACATAGCACACACACAGTACGCATTCCACCCACAACCTGCACATGTGTTTGCATTAGCCCATTAGCCTCGGCACGCGCATGCCACTTGCGTGTATGTGTATGTACATGCGCACACAGACAGAAAGGGAGAGAGAAAGGGAAAGAGACAGAAAAAGAGAGAGAGAGAGAGAAACAACACTCCTTGCACTCCGAACTGAAAGACTCGGAGCAAGTGGCGGGCCCGATTTCGTTGGGCGGCCAGGTTCCAAGGTTTGCGGATTTTGGGTCCCCGGCCGATTACGGTGGGCGGCCGGTTTCTTAGGTTCCCGCGTTCGGGTCCAAGGTGCATGGTACGATTGGGTTTTTGGGTTCTCGAGTATTCTCGTGCTTTCGTGACCAGAGCCAGAATGGGTGTGTGTAAATACATATATATATATATATTATATATATATATATATATATATATATATATATATATATATACACATACATCTATGTAGTAGGCCAGGGGGGGGGGGGGGCAGGCCGCTGCCTGTTCCCCCCATGGGCCCGCCGGGGGCTGTGGGGGGGGGTCGAGCTCCCGAGGCGGCCCCGGCCCACCCTGAAACAGTCCACGACAGGCTAGTGGGGGTCCCGCGAGGGCCCAGTGGGGGTCCCGAGAGGGCCCAAGACGGTCCCAAGAGGCCCCGAAGACGCCCGAGATGCCCTCGAGACCGCCGACGAGGACGCCAACATGCCCCAGGACGGACTCAAGAGGCTCCCCAAGAGGGCCCTGGGAGGCTGAATTCCTTAATTCTTTACGCTTCGCGTATCCCCACCAGCCCATCTCACAACAGCAACTCTTGCGAAGCATGCCGACAGTCGTGTTTTTCAGGCGTGTTTCCGCCTGCCCCCGCATATCTCCCCTGTTCCTCCTTCCCCCCGCCTCCTTGTACACCCTCCTTGTGGTGGGAGCGGGAGAGGGACGAGGCAGAGGAGGAGGGAGAGAAAGCGCTCCTCGTGGTTTGAGTCGTTCGGGCTTTTCGTCCTGGTGTGAGTCGTTCGGGCCCTTCTTCCTGGTGTGAGTCGTTCGGGCTCTTCGTGGTGTGAGTCGTTCGGGCTCTTCGTCCTGGTGTGAGTCGTTCGGGCTCCTCGTGGTGTGAGTTGTTCGGGCGCCTCGTCCTGCTGTGAGTCGTTCGGGCCCCTCCTCCTGGTGTGCGTCGTTCGGGCTCTTCGTGGTGTGAGTCGTTCGGGCCCCTCGTCCTGGTGTGAGTCGTTGGGGCTCCTCGTGGGGCCTCTTGGGGGCCTCTTGGGGGCCTCTTGGGGGCCTCTTGGGCCTCTGGGGCCTCTTGGGGGCCTCTGGGGGCCTCTTGGGGGCCTCTTGGGGGCCTCTTGGGGCCTCGTGGGGCCTCTTGGGGGCCTCTTGGGGGCCTCTTGGGGGCCTCTTGGGGCCTCGTGGGGCCTCTTGGGGGCCTCTTGGGGGCCTCTTGGGGGCCTCTTGGGGCCGCTTGGGGGCCTCTGGGGGGCCTCTTGGAGGCCTCTTGAGAGCCTCCTGGGGGCCTCTTGGGGCCATCTTGGGGCCTCTTGCGACCTCCTCAGAAGCGCAAATGAGAGCTGCCCCCCTGAGAAGGACAAAATGAGCCCCAAACCTTTGTAAAATCAATGATTTTGCTATGAAGGACGAGGAGCGCGACCCCCTCAGAAGGCCAAAATGGGGCCAAAACCTGGGTAAAATCAATGTTTTTGGCGTCGACGAAGAGGGGGGTACTACAAGAGCGTCCCCCCGTCGGGGCCAGAATCCTCGTGAGGGTCGTCGTTTTTTGGCCCTCCCAGGCGTCGAAAAAGACCCCCCTGACCACCCGCCGGACTTCCTCTCCAGGCCCAGGGGGAGGGGGTAGGGGGAGGGGTAAACCCCTCCCCGAAGGGGAAGAAGGGGGGTTGGGGGGTTGAGGACAGAGAAAGCTCGCTAAACCACTCACGCCCAAAGGGCTGGTGGGATTCCCCGATGGTTTTTGAAGGATTTGGGCGTTTTCGCTTTTCCCGCTGTCCAGCGCTCATTCACGGCCTCGGAGGTCCTCCTTCTCCTCCTCCTCCTCCTCCTCCCTCCTCCTCCTCCTCCTCCTCCTCCTCCTCCTCCTCCTCCTCCTCCTCCTCCCCCCTTCTCTTCAGCACCCCTTTTCTTCCTCCACTCGTTTCCCTCCCCCGCCTCCCGGTGACCCCCCTCGAGGTGGGCACCCGCCGAAACTCGCTCGCGCTCCCTGGCATGGCCGACCTCGCGGGCGCTCCCCTGCAGGACGCGGGCTCTGGGGCGAGGCCCTCCCTGGGCCACGGGAGGGAGGGCAGGACCCCGCGCCTGGGCGCTCGGAAAGGGCCCGAGCTTTGTTCCAGCGCCCGTGCGTTCGGGCAGTTTCATACAAGACTTGGCACCAGGGGGGGCGGCTCAGCGGGCGCGGGGGCGTGCGGGGCTCTTGCCATGGGGCGAGTGCCTGGCGGCTCGGCGGCGCGCGGGCCACCGGTGAGTTTCTTCCCCGGGTGCCGGGCTGGGCTGGCCGGCTTTGCTTCGACAGGGCCTCCTCAGACATGCAGCGTTCTGACATAATCAGGGCGGGTGTTTTCACAGTTTTCGGCCTCTGGGAGCCCTTGCTGGTTGCTGGACCCCGTGGCTGTCACAAATCGGCTCGGGACGAACAGCAGGCCCCGGGGAAAGGGTCGGGACTTCCAGGGGCCGCGCATTGAAATTACCCCAGCAAAGCACCCAAATAACAGGAAAGAACATGCCATGTGAGACCTGTGTGGCCTGTGGGACCTGCGAGACCAGTGGGACCTCTGAGTCTTCCAACCTGTGAGACCCGTGGGACATGTAGGGCCTGTGTGACCTGTGGGACCTGTGGGGCCCGTGGGACCTGTGGAGCAAGTGGGGCATGTGGGCCTTGAGCGACCTGTGGGACCTGTTGGGCCCGTGTGAGACCTCTTAGACCTGTGGGACCTGTGGGACGTGTGGGGCCCGCGAGACCTGTGAGAACCGTGGGACTTGTGGAACTTGTGGGACCTGTGGGACCTGGGACGCCTGTGGGACCTGTGGGTCCTGTGCTGCCTGTACGACCTGCGGGACCAGTGGGGCCGTGCGACCTGTGGCACTTATGGGACTGGGGACACCTGTGGGCCTATTGGAACCATGGGACCTGTGCGGCCTATACCGCCTGCGGGACCTGTGGGGCCCTGTTGGACTTGTGGGGCCTTTGGGACCTGTGGCACCTGCGGCTCCTGTGGGACTTGGGAGAACTGTGGGATATGTGGGGCATGTGCGACCTTTGGGACCAGTGGAACTTGTTGGACATGCGGGACCTCTGCGGCCATTTTAGACATGTGAGACCTTCTAGACAAGTGGGGCCTGTGGGGCAGGTGGGAACTGTGGACTTGCGCGACCTGTGGGACCTGCAGTACCTGTGGTACCTGCGGTATCTCTGTGGCCTCAGGGACATGGTGGGACCTGGAGGGACTTGTGGGACCTGCGGGACCTGTGGCACCTGTTGGCCAGGAGGGAACTCTGGGACTTGTGCGTCCTGCGGGACCTGTGGGACCAGGTGGACCTGAGGGACCTCTGTGGCCTGTGTGAGGCCTTCGAGACGTGTGGGGACTGTGGGGCAGGTGGGAACGGTGGACTTGCGCGACCTGTGGGACAGACGGGGCCCGCGGGACCTCAGGGACTTCTGTGGCCTGTGGGACATGTGAGACCTGGGGGACCTCGAGGGACTTATGTGGCCTGCACGACCTGCGGGAACTGTGACACCTGTGATATCTGTGGGATGTGGCACCTGTGGGGCCTGTGGGGCATGTGGGGCATGCAGGACCAGTGGGGCCTGTGGGGCAGGTGGGAACTGTGGACTTCTGGGACCTGCGGGACCAGTGCGACCTACGGTTCCTGGGGGATCTCTGTGGCCAGTGAGACCTGTGAGACCTGTGACACTTGTGGGGGACATGCGAACCATGTGGGGCATGTGGGACCTGTGAGACCTGTCGGACCTGCGGGACCTTGGGAGCCTGTGGGACCCGTGGTACTTATGCGATCTGTGTGACCTGGATGGCCATACGCCGCCTGCACGACCTGCGGGCCCTGTGTGACGTGTGGGATGTGTTGCACCTGTGTGGCCTGCGGGCTATGTGGGGAGTTCCCAATGAGTCTCACGATTTCTCACGATGTTCGTGATCACGATTTCTCACTCGCCGAGACCGGTCGTGATTTCTCACGATGTTGCAATTTCTTCGCGACGTCGGATCTCAGGGAGGAGGGATGTCGAGACTCGAGGCGGCGGATGGACGGAACTGAATGAGGGCGATTGCGATCCATGGCCTGTTGCTCGCGCTTTGGGGCAGTTCTGGGCTCTACCTGCCTGGATCGATTTGAAGTCATCGGATCTTCGCAGGCGGCGGAGGAGGAGGGAGGGAGGAGGCAGAAGAGAAGGGAGGAGGAGGAGGAGGAGGAGGAGGAGGAGGAGGAGGAGGAGAGGCAGGCAGGATGCTAAACAGCACGCTTCCCTGAGGGGGTGGGAGGTCCGTGTGTGGTTGCACACGTTGCGAGCTGCCACCTCTGTGGGCCTGACGGCCAGCAGCAAGAGTTTGAGTACCTGCTTGTGGCGTGATGTGCCGAACTACAGGGGTAATGATCGGGCACGGTTGTGGTGCGCCCCACTCGTGGTTGCAGTTCGTGACGCGCCTATTGGGGGGCGTCGCCATTGGGCTGGTGGTCCTTACTGAGGTGCTACCTTCAATCGTAAGCTCCCAAGGCTTCTCTCGCAGGCCCAGCCTCCAAGGGGCCCCCAAGAAAGAGATTTGGGGCAACGTTGTTCCTTAGGTGCGCCCGGCGCGCCCTCTGGCCGAGACCGCGACTCGTGCGGCGGGGCGCGTGGCGAAGGAGGCGCGACGGGGGGAAGGGGCTGGAAGAGGAGGAGGAGGAGGAGGAGGAGGAGGCGGATGAAGAGGAGGAGGAGGAGTAGGAGGAGGAGGAGGAGGAGGAGGAGGAGGAGGAGGATGAGGAGGAGGAGGAGGAGGGGGGCGAGGTGGGCAAGCGGGCATGCGCCACGTGCGGACGCGGGCGAGACGATGGGGAGACCGAGACAAGCGGCACAGGATAGTGGCAAGATGGGAGGCTGACGGTCACTTCTTTTGGCTTGCGTGGCATCCACGGTGTAGTGCCCAACTCTGCCAGCCCGTGGGGCTGGCACGCTTGCGCCACGCCTGCCGCTGAAGCGGCCTGAAGTGCCCCTGGGACGGCAACCCAGATCCTGTCCACCTTCCTCTAGCCTTCCCGAGTTCTGGTGCACAAACAGAAAGCTAGAGAGAGGGAGGAAAGCACATACCTACGATTACAGCACGGTGGCAAGTGACAAGTGTTCTTCCATGCGCTCACACGTTTCTTTCTTGAAATCTGGATGCCTGCCCTGCGAGAATCTTTCCCATGAGTATCGTGCTCCGTTGGAGGCAAAGCCGCGCTTGAAATCCCCTCAGCATCCTGGGATCCCCAGATTGCGAGAAATCCCGACAAGCAAGTGCTGCATATGAAGACCACGCCCACTGTGTTATTGGACAGGTGGGTGGTATGCGTGCGCGGATTTCGGGCTAGCTCGGTGAAGGCAGCGTTGTAGCCTGGGCATGTCGCGGTAGCCGCCTCGGGCCAGTTTGCCCCTCTGGCGAATGTGAGGCATACCCTTCAGACCCATCGAGTGCGCTTCCAACTCCACTGGTGGGCCGGATCAGATCGAGCTGCCCTGCCAGGGGTGCGCCCTGGGGGTGGGGGCGAAGGGGGAGGGCGGACATGTGAGGAGCTGCCTGGCTGCGCCGACACCTGTGACAAAGGAGGAGAGGCAGGAGGAGGAGGAGGAGGAGGAGGAGGAGGAGGAGGAGGAGGACCAGTGTAAACATGTAAACCTAAGACTCATCAACGACATTGCAACGAACCAGCTCTACAAGCTCCTTCTTCAAAGTCCCCTATACGGCTTATTATCTAACAGCTCTTGCTGATAGGTTTCTAGTGGTCTCAAAAGAGAGCATCATGACTCCTCAGGGGGGTCTGGGCGGGACCCGGACAGGCTGCCGCCGCGGCTGCCGCCGAAGCCCAAATCGCTTGGGACATCCTCGCAAAATCGCTCTTGGCGCTCCCAGAACTCCATTCCCGGGCCACATTTTGCTGCCACTTGAGCCAGGTTTTGGATGCCCGGAGCCAACTGTAGGCCACTTCGTGCTCTTCGACTTCCCAGAACTCCATTCCCGGGCCACATTTTGGATGCCCGGAGCCAACTGTAGGCCACTTCGTGCTCTTCGATTTCCCAGAACTCCATTCCCGGGCCACATTTTGGATGCCCGGAGCCAACTGTAGGCCACTTCGTGCTCTTCAAGTTCCCAGAACTCCATTCCTGGGCCAGCCAACTTTTCGAATGCTGAGGCAGGCTGACGCTGCGGCCGAGGCAGGCTGAGGCTGAGGCAGGCTGAGGCTGAGGCCGAGGCTGAAGGCAGACTGAGGCTGAGGCTGAAGCAGACTGAGGCTGAGGCTGAGGCAGGCTGAGGCTGAGGCTGAAGCAGGCTGATGCTGAGGCAGGCTGAGGCTGAGGCTGAGGCTGATGCAGGCTGAGGCTGAGGCAGGCTGAGGCTGAGGCCGAGGCTGAAGGCAGACTGAGGCTGAGGCTGAAGCAGGCTGAGGCTGAGGCTGAGGCAGGCTGAGGCTGAGGCAGGCTGAGGCTGAGGCTGAGGCAGGCTGAGGCTGAGGCTGTGACTGCGACTGCCGTTGCCGCTGCGACTGTCATCGCGAATGCGACTACGACTGCGAGAACAGCAGAATTCTACAACTGGATTTTCATCTGAATCTTAAGGGGAATGCTTTCAGATATGCTTCTACACATCGCTGTTAGGTTGCTTTGCCGGGATAATTTTCACTGAAGTAAGTGCCCCGTTGGAAAACAACCGCTGGATAATCCCGAACTGTGCCTGAGACCATTCCTGGGACAGCAACGTCGCGAATCACCGTTACAGTTACGTCTGGGGACTTCAACACCTCGAATCAACGTGACTGTTGCGCCCTGACAGTCCGGCATCGTGCCCAAACACCCTTGCTAGTACGTTAACCATGAGAATCCGTCAAACCGTTGCAAATGTTTGAAGCGAATGTGTGCGTCGGCAAGGTTAGAGCCACAGATTAAAAATGATTCCCCTCCATCCGTGAAGCTACTTCAATTGTAATGACGAGTGTTCGCGGCGCTATTTTAATGCGAGAGCCGTACGTTGAAAACGACTTCTCCAAACTCTGTGAATCTCGTTTATTGTTTAAAGGCAGATGTGCGCGGCGCCCAGGCGGAGCTACATTTTGAAAGCAGCCCACCCTCCATCCGTGAAGCTGTTGCACATTCTAAGCTTCAGGATCATACAATGGTGAGACTGTCTCAGGCGAAACGCCCAGAAGGCACTTCCGACCGGCTTCGGGGTGGGACAGGGAGGAGTCATTCATTAGGAAAGGGAACGCGAAGTCGGGTGGGAAGGTCCGTCCCCGCGAAGCTTGGCTGGGAGCTGGCGCGAACCCCAAAGGCCCTAGTGCGCAACACTGACCCCCGGGAGCACCCGTTGCTGGACCCTGGCTCGAACAGCGGGCGCTCCCAGGAGGAACGGGTTGCGCCAGCCGGGCCTTTAGCAGCGCTGCCCAGGAGCACCCTGGCGAACGCGAGAAACGAGTCGTTGCCGGCCGTGGGCCTGCCGTCAGCGCCCGCCGCCCGCCTCAGCCCAGCCCGGCCAGCACCAGCGCCGATCAGCGGCGCTCGGTTGACGACGTCCCTGCCCGGCTAGCAGCGGCGCCCAGCCCGGCCAGCTCCCGCCGCTTTTCGTCGTCGTCCTGAGCGCCCAACAGCGGCATCCAGCAGCAAACCGTCTACGCCGTCCGCCGCGCTGCCAACGTCGCTAGTGCCGGCTGTGGCCACCGCAGTCCGCCAGCCGCCCAGCTCCTGGCGCAGGCCTGCCGCCTTGCGGAGCTGGCGCGCTGTGGCGGCCTGCAAGCCGCAGCTCAGAACCTTGTAGGCCAACGCCAGCTCCCGCGGCTGGTCCTCGGGCAGCAGGTGCACCTGCCCGAGCAATCCGTGGCGGGCCTCGGCGCCGAGCCGCCCCCCAGCCTCGAGCACGAAGGGTGGACGCGGAGACGTTGAGCCAGCGCCGACCGTCGTCCTGGTGTTTCAAATCCAGGACTGCGCGTTCGAGGCGGTCGTCTGGGTGTTGGCGGTGCCAGGTTGGCCGCGCCAGCGTGCGGCGAGGCTGCCGACTGTCCGGTTGAGTCCGCTGTGGCGCGCCACCATGCCTACGCTCAGCTGCCAGGTGAGGGCTTGGTAGCCCTGCTCGCCCAACGCTCTGGCGCTGTCGGCGCCGTCGGATTTGCAGCCGTCGCCGTTCCCCAGTGCCTGAGGACCTGCAGCGTTCAGAACGCGTCTTCAGGTAAACGATGAAAGCACCGCTGCCGCTCCCGGCTGCGCCCCGCAGCTCGGCCTTTCTGGGAAGGGCCAAGTCTGGCTTCTGGGGCGTCTACGGCGCAGGAGGAGAAGGCAGAGGAGGAAAGGAGGAGGAGTTGTTGGAGGAGGAGGGGAGGAGGAGGAGGAGGAGGAGAAGGAGAAGGGAGGAGGAGGAGGGAGGAGGGGCAGGAGGAGGAGAGGAGAGGAAGAGAACGCGGGGTGCAGTCTGTTCAAAATGAGGACCCAACACCACAGGATGGCTGGGAACAAAATAATCAGTACGGACATGCCGGCGCTGATTCATCCAAGCAGAAGAAGTGGCATGCGCGTTGCGCAACATGTGGAAGCAGCTGCAACCACAAATTGCTCGGCTCAGTATGCGGACGGCAGACACGTCTTCACCCCACAACCCAGGAAACCACTATGCACGCAACCTTGATTGAACTAACAAGCGTACACTGCTCGAGCACGGCATGACCCGAGACCTCAGACATGGTATCTTGATCCATTTTGGAGGCCATCGTGGGCTCCCTGAAACCCTTTTGGAGCCATCGCGGGCTATCTTGGACGCCCTAACACCTCCGCTCCCCCCCTCCCAGGCCCAGGGGAGGGGGTATGGGCGAGGGGTCAAGTTACCCCCTCCCCGCCCGCAAGCCGTCTCGCTCACTCCCACCCGCCCTCCCAACACATACGTAGCACCCGAGTCTGGCCCGAGCCTCAGCATATTCAGCAGTCGTCTTGGGATGGGCAGCTACTGGGGGCCAATCCGCCGCCGCCGCCGCCGCCGTCTCCGCCGCCGCCGCCGCCGCCGCCGCCGCCGCTGCCGCCGCCGCCGCCGCCGCCGCGCCGCCGCGCCGCCGCCGCCGCCCGCCGCCGCCGCCGCCGCCGCCGCGCCGCCGCTGCAGCCGCAGCCGCCCCCCGATGCCAAACCGCCGCCGCAGCCGCAGCCCTGCCGCCACCGCGCCCGCCGCCGCCGCCGGCCGCCGCAGCCCGTAGCCGCCGCCGCCGCCAAGTGTACTCTGCCGCTACCGCAGCCGCCGCAGCCGCCGCAGCAGCCGCCGCTTAAGCCGCCGCCGCGCCGCCGCCGCCGCCGCCGCCACCGCCGCCGCCGCGCCGCCGCCGCCCCCGCCGCCGCCGCCGCCGCCGCCGCCGCCGCCCCCGCCCCGCCGCCGCCGCCGCCGCCGCAGCCGCCGCAGCCGCCGCCACCGCCGCCGCAGCCGCCGCAGCCGCCGCCGCCGCCAAGTGTAGTTGCTCTGTATTGTTTTTTGACAGGGATGTTGGGGGGGGGCGCATCGGGTTGGCTGCGCATGTTCCGAATGTGGAGTCAGAGTGTGTTTTGTATTGTTGTTTTACAAGGGATGGTGGGGGGGTCGGCATGGACCCTGGTTGGCCCCCAGTCGCCTGGGGGAGGGGGTGTCTATTAATAGGGAACAGTGATCAAGACACCCTCCTGGATAGCAAGCCGTCTAGCTCACTCCCACACGCCCTCCCGACACAGAAGTAACACCCGAGCCTAAGCATGTTCAGCGGTTTTCTTTGGACTGGCAGCTGCTGGGAATCAAAACCAACCTCATGTGCGCGACGCTGGGGCGAGGTGCGCCACGCGTGCCAGGCGCGTCACGCGCGCCAGGCGGCACCCCTGGGGCCCGAGCGTGCCAGGCACGCCTGGTGCGCCAGATGCGCCAAGTGCTCCACGTGCGCCAGGTGTGCCGCATACTCCAGCCGGGTCAGGTGCGCCACGTTCAGGGCACGTGCAGAGCGTCAGGTGCACCTGCGCACATGACAGCACACAGAGGGAAACACGTTGCCCCCCACCATCCTTATCGAAAACCGATGCCCATCATTGTCTGTGGTGGGCCTGCGCACAGCAGGCCATACGCCACCACCCTCGCCGTCTCCGTCACAACCCACGTGACAGTGATCTCGGGGTGGCCGCGCATGATCCAGCCTGAGCCGCGAGGTGGATGTTGTATGTTTTTTTGTCATGGATCGTGGCCCTGCGCACAGCAGGCAATATGCTGACACCCCTGCTGTCCCTGTCGGAAAATATACAAAATGCTCGTGTGTTTCACGAGCATGGCTCAAGACTTTGCCCCAAAGTGTATGTTGTATAATTGTTTGAAGGATGGTTGGGAGGGGGGGGAGGGCGCATCGGGTTGGTTGCGCATTCTCAGAAATTGGAGTCAGAGTGTTTTCTGCATGTTTTTCTTGTGACAGGGATGGTTGGAAACGGGAAGATTCTAGGGTCGGCAGTGTTCCTGGTTGGTTGTCGGTCGCCTTTGGGAGGGCGTGTATATTAATAGCGAACAGTGATAACCCCCTCCCCCGAGCAGGGGCAGGAGGGGCATTGGAAGAGAGAAGACAAGATTTCGTTAAACTACCTACGCCCAGAGGGCTGGTGGGATTTACCATGGCTTGCTTTGCCCGCTTTTATCATCGCTGATGTCCGCAGTCGCGTGCGGACGGCGCGGTGCCCCTCGAGCGCTGCGCGAAATCGGCGGGCGCTGAATCGAGGCACGACCGCAGCCAAAATGCTACGGACGATCGATCCTCGAGCCGCATGGGCTTGAGAGGAGGAGGAGGAGGAGGAGGAGGAGGAGGAGGAGGAGGAGGAGGAGGAGGAGGAGGGAGGAGGAGGAGGAGGAGGAGGAGAGGAGGAGAGGAGGAGGAGGAGGAGGGAGGAGGAGGAGGAGGAGGAGGAGGAGGAGGCGGAAGGGAGGAGGAGGAGGAGGAGGAGGAGGAGGAGGAGGAGGCAAGGCGGAGGGGGCGCGGACCCCGACCAGGCGGCGCGTGGTGCGCACGTCCACCTCCCCCGCCGTCGTCGTGGCGCACTTCGACGAGCGTACGCCAGCGACCGCCGCCGAGGGCGGCGACAAGCCGGAAGGTCCCCCGGCATGAATCGGGCGGATGGCAGCGGGGGGGACAACGAACGTGGGGGGGAGCATCGAGGATCGCAGGAAAGAGGTCCTCGAGGGGCCCCAGAGTGCCCCTGAGCTGCCGCTGCGGGCCCGTACGGTGCACGAGAGGTGCACGCGTCTTTACCTCGGGTTTGCTGCCCCCCGTGAACGACCACCCAGAGGAAGGATGAGGAGGAGAAGGAGAAGGAGGAGGAGGAGGAGGAGGAGGAGGAGGAGGAGGAGGAGGAGGAGGAGGAGGAGGAGGAGGTGTGGTGCCCTGGAGGAAAAGTGTCCTGGGAGTCTTTCAGTCCCTTTGGGACCCTCACGGGACACTTCCCAGTCGCCGGGGCACTCTCAGGAGCGACTCGGGAGGAGAAATTGGTGTTGGGGAAGCCCCGAGGCACGTTTCCACCAGGATCTCCTCCCCTCCTGTCAACCTCCCCCTTCCCCGCATCCTCCAGCCCTCCGTCCTCCGTGCCCCATCCTCTCTGTGCTCCATCCTCCATTCTCCGCCCCCCCCATCCCCCCTCCTCCATCTACACCCCCCGTCTTCCATTCTCGTCTTCTGTCCTCTCCTTTCTTCACCCCATTCCTCCTTCCCGCCCTTTGGCGAAGCATGGGCTAGCAATGGCATGCGCCCGACGGCGAGTCGGAGGGCGCTGCGGAGGAAACGTGTCTCCCGCTTACGATGCCCTCGTTCCCTGCGTGGCAGGCGGGTCCACCCGCTCACGCTCCTCTCCCTTCCCCCTTCTCGCCGTCCTTCCTCCCTCAACTATCCTTCCCTTCCCCCTTCTCGCCGTCCTTCCCGCCCGCCTCCTCCCCTCCCCTCCCCTCCCCTCATCCTCTTCCTGTCTTCCCCCCTCCCCTCCCCTCATCCTCTTCCTGTCTTCCCCGCTCCCCTTCTCATCTGCCTCCCTCATCCTTCCTACCACTCCCCTTCTCCTGCTGCTGCTCCCCCGCCTCGGTGGGCCACCCTGGTGATCGTGCCTGCGTAGGTCGCCTGCTGCGGCCTCTCCGTCTTCCTCCTTCGGAGTTCTGGTGTATCCCTCCTCGTCTTCCTGCCTCCTCCCTCCTCGCCCCTTCCGCAGACGAAGGGGGGATTGGCGGGGGGAGGGGGAGGTGGAGGAGGAGGATCAATAGGAAGAGGAGGAGGAGGCGGAGGAGGAGGAGGAGGAGGCGGAGGAGGAGGATGAGAAGGAGGAGGAGGAGGAGGAGGAGAAGGCCGAACAGGAGGGGGAGGAGAAGGAAGAGAAGGGAAGGAGGGGAAAACATGAACGGCAGGAACAACAGGACAAACTCTATGTTTTCATCGAGAACAACAGGAACAAACACAGCGAAACCTGTGACTGCCGTTTTTTGTGTTGTACGGTTTTCACGTTTTTTCATGTGAACGCACAGGGTGTTTCATGTTTTTTCTTGTTTGTTCTGCTTTCCGCCTCCTTCCCCTGAGCGCCCTGGGGTCTCTGAGCGGCCCGCGGCCTTTCCTCGCAGCAGAACGGAAGTGGGGAAACCATGAACAACAATATTATCCCAGAGCGACTCTGCCTAGGAGTTGGAGCCCCGAGGAGAGCAATATTAGCAATAACGGTAAGCGCCGTCCTCCTCCTTCTCTTCATCGTCGCAGTTGCAGCAGTAGCGGTGGTAGTTGTCGTCGTCGTCGTAGTAGTCGTAGTATGCGTCGTTTTAGTAGTAGTCGTAGTAGTAGTAGTAGTAGTAGTAGTAGTAGTAGTAGTAGTAGTAGTAGTAGTAGTAGTAGTAGTAGTAGTAGTAGTAGTAGTAGTAGTAGTAGTAGTAGTAGTAGTAGTAGTAGTAGTAGTAGTAGTAGTAGTAGTAGTAGTAGTAGTAGTAGTAGTAGTAGTAGTAGTAGTAGTAGTAGTAGTAGTAGTAGTAGTAGTAGTAGTAGTAGTAGTAGTAGTAGTAGTAGTAATAGTAGTAGTAGTAGCATCAGCAGTAGTAGTAGTAGCAGTAGTAGTAGTAGTAGCAGTAGTAGTAGTAGTAGTACCAGTACAGCTTAATTTCTACATCTGCATCTAGACCTACATCCACATCTACACCAATGCTGCGCTATGGTATGCTATGCTAGGGTATGCTAGGCTGCGCTATGTTATGCTAGGCTAGGCTATGCTATGCTATGCTGCGCTATTATGTGCCATGCTATGCTATGCTATGCTATGCTGCGCTATGCTATGCTGTGCTGTGATGTGCCATGCTATGCTGCGCTATGCGAAGCTGCGATATGCTATGCTATGCTATGATATGCTGTGTTGTGCTATGCTATGCTATGCCATGCTGCGCTATGATATGCTATACCATGCTTCGCTATGCTATGTTATGACATGCTGCGCTATGCTATGCCATGCTATGCTATTCTATGCTATGCTGCGCTGTGCTGCGCTATGTTATGCTGTGCTATGCTATGCTATGCTGCGCTATGCTATGCTGCGCTATGCTATGCTGCGCTATGCTATGCTATGCTATGCTACGCTATGCTACGCTATGCTACGCTATGCTAATGCTGCGCTAAGCTAAGCTGAGCAGAGCTAAGCCAAGCTAAGCTAAGCGAAGCATAGCTAGGCAACTCTAGGTAAGCAAAGCATAGCTAACTAAGCCAAGCTAAGCAAAGCAAACCATAAGCCAGAGCATAGCTAAGCAAAGCCAAGCTAAGCTAATATATGCTAGGCAAAGCTCAGCTACAGCTCAGCTAAGCTAAGCTAAGCTAAGCTAAGCTAGGCTAGGCTAAGCTAAGCTAAGCTAAGATACTATAAGTTAAGCTAGGCTAAGCTAAGATAAGAGAAGCAAAGCTAAGCTAAGGGGGCGCACCTGGGGGAACCGCGGGGCGGGTACTGGGGGAACCGCCCGGGCCTGTTCCCACTGCCCGGCCCTTTAAGCAAAGGGAGAGTAAGAACCCTTCTAGGCAGAGCCTAGGTAGGGAACAACTGAAACACCTGGGGCTTCCACAGGGGAAATCAAGGAAAAGCAGCGAAACCTGTGACTGTCGCTCTTTTTCGAGTCTTTCCTTTTTTTCCATTAAAAAACACGGGGTTTTCTCATGTTTTCATGCTTTTTGTTTTCTTCCTCCTCCTTCCCCTGGGCGCCCTGGGGTCTCTGAGCGGCCCACGGTCCTTTTTCCCAGCAGAACGGAAGACGGGAAAACAGGAAAAACATGAAACAACATGAAAAACCGTTTCGTTTCCATAGGGAAAAGCATGACAAAAACAACGAAACCTGTGACCGTCGCTCTTGTTCAAGTTGTTCCTGTTTCTCCGTGTGCAAGCAAATGTTTTTCATGTCTTTCTTGCTTTTCCTGTTTCCTCCTCCGTCGCTCTAGCGTCCTGTAGCGTCCGAGCAGCCTACGAAGCCTCCGCCCAGAACACGATCGCCTCCGCCTGGTGACCATCCAATTATGATGGTGTGTTTTGTCAAATCATATTACGGAGAGCGGATCACTGATCCAGATGATTCGTTCGTTGTTTGTGAGACAGGAGGGCCCCACAGTTTTCTTTTCTCATTGAAAGGCTGGTGTGACTATTCCACTCTGGCTCATCTTCTTGACTTTGTGTATGCCTTAAGTGATCCCTGTGCATCGACTCCGTGTCGTTCGGGGGCCGATACTGGCAAATCGAGCGAACCTTCTGACGATGTCGCCGGAAAGAGGCCACCAGAGGCCGACTGCGATCCTCTCACCGCGCGAGGAGGCCTGGCCGACTCGGAGCGAAGACGGCGGGGGCCCAGCGGCGAGCGGTCGAGCCCCGCGCCCTCCCCCCACTCGGGAGGCGCCGTCGGCAGCGCAGCGTCGCCGCCTGGCGCGGCCTCCGCCGCATCATCCGGGCAGCCAGTGGCGAAGGCCGCGCCCCCCGCGGAACACCGCCGCCATCGTAGCCGTCGCTGCCGTCGGTCGCCGTCGGCGTCGCGGTCGCCGAAGCGGTCGTCGACGCGGTCGTCGTGTCGCCGCCGCCGCCGTCGCCGCAGGTCGCCGCCGTCGCCGCAGGTCGCCGTCGGCGTCGCAGTCGTCACCGTCCTCGTCGTAGTCGCCGCCGTCGCCTTCCTGGATCCTGAGTCGAGATTCGGGGGTCGAGGTGCTGGGACGTCAACGGCTTGTCTGAAGCCGTACGAGGCCTTGCCAGAGTTCGCCGCCGCCGCCTCCGCCACCGCAGTCGTCGTCGTCGTCGTCGTCGTCGTCGTCGTCTTCGTCGTCGTCGTCGTCGTCGTCGTCGTCGTCGCCGACGTGGCCCACGTGACTGGCAGCCCTCGTGGCTTGCCTGTCGCCTGCGCTGGCTCCAGAAAACGTCCGTGGGCTCTTCTACGCCTCCCCCGGCCTGCCATGAAGAGCCCGCCCTGGTGCAGGGAGTCGTCGGTCGAGATTCGAGGATCAACGTATCGTGACGACGACTGGGTGATCCCAAGATGTCCCCGAGGCCTCTGGGGGTCTCCGGAGGCGTCTGGAGCTCTCATGGGGCCTTTGGAGGTCCTAGGAGGTATCGAAATCTCTTTACACCTTGAGACCTCCAGAGGCCTCTTGACGACGTCAGCTGTAGTCGCTGTCGCCGCCGCCGCCACCGTCGTCGTCGTCGTCGTGCTCCGTCATCTTTCTCCCACTCCTTCCTTGTCCTCATCCTCCCCCTACGGCATACCCTCCGTGTTTTCACCGTCCTGGCAGGAGGGCGGGGGAAGGGAGGGATGGGGGAAAGGGAAGAGCCTGGCAGGAGGGAGAAGGAAGTGACGAAAGATGGGCGGCAGGATGAGGAGGAGGAGGAGGAGGAGGCGGAGGAGGAGCGGACGAGGACGGGAGATCGCCTGAGGAGAGGAGGAGAGGAGGAGGAGGAGTAGGAGGAGCAGGAGGAGGAGGAGGTGGAGGAGGAGGAGGAGGACGATGAGGACGAGGAGGAGGACTAGGAGGAGGACGATGAGGAAGGGGGCTTGCACGTCGAGGAGTTGGAAGAGACAGCGCGGAGGGATTGACTTGTAGTCTTCCCCAGCTCGCATGCCCACTCCCGCCTACCC